ATGTTATTTAAATTTACGTCAATATAAAAAATAATTGTTTAACGAAGAAATGTAAATAGAATATTTTTCCGTACCCCAACGATTATGTGTTATATCTATTTAAAATTTTGTGAGGATTCTGAAAATGACATTTAAATTAAGAATTAGTGCATTTTTAACAGAGTGATATAACCTTTTTCACAACAACTACAATAATTTTTGGAAAACCTTAATTAATTTGTTATTCCCTAACGGTTGAGGTTGGGAACCTCAAATGTGCGTCATTATGTCGCCATTACCATGTAGTTTGATGCAAAATTTTATTTAACACTTATGACCGGACACCCTGTATATATGGTCGAGAGTACATTTCTAAGTTTTTCTTTAGGCTCATTTTCATGTGTAATAGTGATGGTTGAACATCTTGAAGTTCCCGTGATTTTGTGAAGTGATCACTTAAAAGTGTCCCACAATCGCAGAAGTTGGTCATGACATTTGCAATCCAGGCATGGAAACAGGGCCGGCTTTAACCATAGTCTAGGCCAAATAGGCGCGCGCCTAGGGGCATGCACCACAATATTACAATTTACAAAATAATGCCACTGCTAATGTTTTCTATTGTGGATAATAGGTTCAAGTGGTGTACCCTAGTCATATAGGGTATTTGTCACTGTGGTAGGCTAATACTCACAATTGTCTGAGGACTGACAAAAATCTTAGATTTCTACGATTTCAACGCAATCATAGGAGAAACATCATAGGAGAAAGTTGCAGTACTTTCTTGCCAAAGGGGACATTCAATACTTATTATCAATGTTTTTTTTAGGCCTATATATTAATATTTTTTTCTTTATAATGATCCATAGGCCTATTCTATGTTTTAATATTTTCAACACTTTTAAGTTACAAAATGACAACTGATCTGTTTAGGCTAATATAATATATAAATGGATTAGGGCCTAACCCTAGTACTGCCCTGACCTGATTTTTAAAGCCAAATTGCTCGATGCCCTGGCGATTTTGGCCATTTGGCAGAGTTGTTTATGACAATTCGCAGGTTACAAATCAATATGTTAACTTAATATCGATATAATCGGATCAAAAAATAAAATACCAATACTGTACAGTAGGCCTACATGTTGAGAAAAAAATCATCGATAATAATGAATGTTCCCTTTAACAGGAACGTAAGTTACCGAGATGTTCACTATTACACCGAGACCACAGAAGACGCTTATGGATTTTGATTATAATGACCTCAGGATCTGATGTTTTAAGAACGATTTCACCACAATCACAGAAAATGATCATTATTTGCCACGATCGCAAATGACAATAATGTTTCCACTAGAGATGTAACGAATAATCGGTTACTTAGTGAAGTTACTGTAAGTTAACTTATTTCAAACTGCTGATTTGGGGGGTCAGTTACTTATTCTCTAGGTAAGGTCTACTACCGAACCCAGAGCCCGCACCTCAGGTGGAACCTAACTTAGGGGTCTAGGACCGGCCCTGAATTGGCTTTTTTTTATAACGAACCATAACTTGATAAGTTGGCCTACCTATCAAATTAATTGATATAGTACTTAATTTACATTTTAAGTTTAGTATGTTAGGCCTACCGTAACTTAAGTTACCGGTAGTTAGAACAATTTGATGGGAACAATCCAATTTCTTTTCACGTAGGCCTAACTTACTGTAACTTAGGTTAGGCCTATTCATATCTCCCAGAATTTTCTGAATGAAACGAGTAGCCTAGGGTACCGCATATTGATATGTTCCAACCATAACTTAATTAGAGTTTATGTTTAAAAAAGAATAGGTATGTCTGCAAAATGGCAATTTGGCTTGGCCACTAAGTTATAAGTTAAATAGGCTAGGCCTAGGTATGGAAACTTACCTGTAACCATTCGGAGGGTTAAGGAGGTAAAAATTAATTGCAAAACCAATTAATCCAAATGTGGGTTATCATTACTAGGCCTAACTAAGTTAGAGCCTACACCATAACAAAATTTGAATGGAGTAAGGGAGCATGAACGATTCTGTACCATAGGCCTTATGATCACTGTATCTCGAACAAACTGGCAGGTACAGTTACTTAACTGGGCTATGGCTAATATCAATTGAAACTATCAAATTGAAAATATTGATTAATAATCAATATTTTTAAATATATCTATTATAAAATTAAACTATCATAACCTAACCTAGCCAACCAAAGTTGCTGATGGTGAAAAAATCGCATGAAGGTTTACTAATCGAATCGATAGTTTCAATCGATGTTAGCATAGCTCAGTTAAGAAACTGCACCCAAACTGGCAACTAACCTGTTTTCATCTTCGTGTAAGTTAACTGAGTTTACGAGTATTGCTTTACAAATTGGCAAGCATAGGCCAAGCCAAGTTTTGATTGCTTCAAGTTTCCACCTAAAGGTTAGGACTAGGCCTAAGCCTACCTAGGCCTAGCCTACTTAAAAGTATTTAAACGGCCTGTCCTGACTTCAAAATGAATTCATTTGTTTGAACTCGGGCTAACTTATTTCGTCTTTAAATATTGAAAATTAAAAATTATTCAAATTTAACTTACCGAGTTTCGAAGACAGTACATCCTGCAGAAGACGTTGAAGAGGCAAGCAAACAGAAGTTATCATAACTACCCCACTAAGTTATTTGTAAAACTATAAATTGAATACAATTTTCATGCAAGCAGCCAAAGACTTGTTTAGTATGTGATTTTAGATTTCAAACCTAAATCATTAAAAAATTGTAAAACACAATTTAGGTAAAACAGCATAAAAGTTTGTGAATCATTGAATACAATGCAGAACAGAATACAGAAAACTACAATCCTCAACCTCAATCCTCATTTTTCACTTTTCAGTTTTTTTTACTACGGAATGGATTATGGAATACGGAACGGACGGGGACGGATAAAGTACAAGTACAAGACAAAACATGTATACCAGCCAATCGGAAGGTGTCTAGCTGTGCGAAAGACTAAAGCAATGTGATGATGAACTTTCAAAGTGAACCATAGAGCATAGCCCCTGTTGCTGCAGACCTGCAATAAGACATAATAGATATTAATAATTTTGCAAACAATTTACAAATTGAACTAATTTTCAGTTCAATAAATTAATTTTTACAAGATGTCAAGTCATCCTTTTCTATCCAAGTTGAGGTTATCCATATGTAATGGGGAGGGTAGGCTAGGAAAGCTGGGTTGACGACCTGTGTCACGGCCACCTTTAACTACAGGCCGCGGCCTGGTAGAATTGGCAACGTCGCAAGTGGTGTTGTTTAGTGACAAGACATCCCATAAGATAACACAGGTGACATCAGCTCATTAATTCTCACTTTATTGATTTAAACTTAAATTCATGAACATAAATTTATTAAAATATTAAAAAATAAAACATACAGAATTGAAACCCGAAAGAATATGAATTAAAAATCTATATCTGTACATTTGTGGAGTCAATATCGTCATAGTCCAGTAACCAATCTTTCGTAAATACAAAAATACCATTAGCTGCTTCCAAACAAAACAGCTGTTACAACACCACTTGCGACGTTGCCACTTCGAAGGCCGCGGCCTGGAGTTAAAGGCGGCCGTGCCTGTGTTCGGACCTTGCAAGCTGGGAAGCGTGCCGGCTGGACGTGTTTGGGTTAAAATTTAAAATACAGTACTGAGGTATTTTCACATAAAACATGTCAATGATTGTATTGCGCTTATTTTTACATTGAAAATAAATTTTATTTTAGTTTAGACTTGACCATTGCCAATATTGATCTCTGATCTGGTTTAATAATGATTTTGACTTTGAGTCACAGGTCAAAAATATTACCTTCAGGTCTCAGGTTGAAACGTTGAAACCCTAGGTCGGTTCAAAATCAGTTTTTGGAAAGTGTTGAGTTTTAATAGAATGATTTTCTAGCCAAGCCGAGCCTAGCTTAAAAACTTGAGGGATCTTGATCTATCTAAAAAAATCAAGCTCAATCCGAGCTTTTACGACTGCGAAAACACCATGATCGCCTAGAACGCGTATATGAGGATCACACCAACGTGATTGAAAGTTTGACGATTAACGCGTTTGCCAGTTTTTGCCTTGCCACGATCATGATGTCGACGAGGTCGAGAACATTCCACCGCGGGTTTAAGGCCGCGGAAGTTGTCAAATATTTTGCCACGATTGCGGAAGATGATTATGGTCCATACGGTACGACCGCTGGATCTGTTTAGGATTTTGCTGCGATACTGGAAGACTAATGTTTCAAGATCGAGCGATGATATTCAAGATTTTGTCGCTATCACAGAAGATGATGAATGATGATGCCACTGGAGATAAGGATTTTGTTTGCCAAGATTGCGGAAAAAGATTATGTTTCCGTAACCACAGGATATATAATAGGAGATTTGACCGCGATCGCGGTCGAGACTATGATATTGCCTACACGGCCACAGGAGATGTCCTTATTCACGGTGATGGATGATGATAATGCTTTCGTGACTGTTGGAAGTATATATTCACGTTTCTTTAGGGGTTTAAGCTAAGCGGTCACGGAATACACGGTGATACAATTTCCGTGACCTATGCAGATATTCAGGATTTTTGATCATGGAAGACGATGATGACACCTCGGTGCCTCGGAAGGTGCAAAGCCCAAGTGCAAGCTTATGTGGAAATGCCTGTGATAATGGTTTGGTTTTTACAGATGATTAGAGAGGGGGCCGGTGAACAAACTTGCGATGGATGGGTTCTTATCGCAAGCCATTGGAGCTCAGCTAGCGTATCACTTTCACCCCCCTCCTTTAATCCGAAACTTACATAGATGCAAATAATATTAAACACCCTATATCCCCACTACATGACTTCCTTGACCTAAAATAAAAACATCAATGCTCAAATCAACATCAACAGTTTAAAACCTGATTTACTGTTACTATCTTGTCATCTGTTTTACGGATTTATGGAATGGTACGGTCATATGATCACTTTTCTAAGACACATGACAGGATGATGATACACAACACAAACAACATTTTACAATTTCAACACAATATAATGCAAAACTATTATTCAAACCTTGATATCTGTATTATTATTTAATTTTTATTATTTATGTGTTACAGTAAGTGAGAAATAATTATGTGATTCACCTTACAAGTTCAGTTGCCTTTAGTGAAATACATAGTCCTACATTTAACTTATCTTTATTCAGTAAGGCCTAGTAATAATTTAAATAGTGTTATTTTTAAAACCTACTAGGCCTAGGCCTATTAAATCAAAGTGTGAATGTTAAAAGGAAGTTTTTAGCTAGAAATTACGTTAGGCTATGTTAGCTTAAAAGATTGTGCTTTTTGCCTAGCCTAGGTTATATAACTTACATCGCTAACCTTTGCTTATTAATAATGAACAGGTTAATTCAAATTGAAAGTGTTAATCCAGAGGAAGATCATCCAATGACTGAAAATAATGTCAATTTTCTTCCTTTAGAGGTAGGTCTTATTCCAACTAAGCCTATTAACTTAAGTACCGGTACCTAACTTAATTTGAATAAGTTAAATCACCCGTACAATTTTTAAAATTATTAGCCTAAGTTAAGTTAGACTTGATCACACCATTAATTTAAATACTAGGCCCAACTGTAATTTATTTAGGCCCTATATACTTTATGCCTTTATACCATGTTATCCATCGTTGACCAGTAGGCTACCTAGTAACTGGATTGATTTCGTCAAAAGAAAAAAAAAAAAAATTTTAATACTTTAGATATTTAAGCGGTTAACATGGCTGTAGTTACGAGGTCCATTCACCATTTTCCTCTGTGAAATATTCCTTCGGCCTACAGGGCCTTGAGTAGCTCCTCTAAGTTAAAGTCCTTAAGAGGGAGCGACTTTATGTCCTGGTGCCGGTGGTTATAGAGTTTGACGCCAAGGACCGGATAACCACTATTTTTGTTTACTCAGCCTGCAGAAAGGAACGTTTTGATTTTCTCCTTTTCTCAAATTAACTTATAAGTTAACTAAGTTATGTAGGTGGTGTCTGCAGTTGAGGTTATCTATATTTTCCTTGACCTGCACCAGACAGTTGTAGATGAATTGGCTGTTAATAGTCATTACTCCTAAGGCACGGAAAAGTGGCCTAGAGTGTTTGTCTCTTTCGCTGGAGGTTATGGCTCTTATGGCAGCCTTTTGAACTATCAGAATGTTTTGTTGGTCTCTGAAGCATGTCCCCAGACAATGATAGCTCAACGGGCTGTGGAAGAGGCCATAATAGGCCAGCTTTAGGTAGGTGTCTGTGACCAAGTTTTTTAATTTCCTTAACACGCTACACTGCAATAGCACAAAATTATAAAAAATACAAAAAAACAAGAATAAATTATTTACAAACACGATTGTAGCGTATTACGATGTAAATGATCATTGTTTTATAAGGTTTTCGCCTGTGGTCTCTGTGTACTGTAAACCAAGTGACAGCCGGTCTATGTGTAAAATTCAAATGTATACCTCGGTCTGTGACAATGACCGCGGTGTCGCATATGCGACGCTCAGTAGCGAACGTGTTAAAAGGAAAACAGTTCTGGAAAGTCTGCTTTCCAACACGTTTATATGTTTGCCTTTATTTAATTATATTATACCTTATTTAATTATATGGGTAGACTTCCGTATCTGTTGGCACAAACAACCAAATGAAAATATAAAGATTGTCCGATGTTTCATTCGATACCTATATTGTTTGGTTAACCTTACCTACCTAACCAAACGATATATCGATCGATATTTTCATTCGGTTGTTTGTGCCAACAGATACAGAAGTCTACTCTAAATGGCTGGATTTTATTTTACGTCCTACATTTACTCACATTACTGCACTGCAGTTTGGTTAAGGTTACTGAGTGGTCTATGAGTTAAGTGCTGACTTGTAACCAGAAGGTCGCTGCTGGAAGTTATATCAATCTACCCATTGCATTAATCATAGGCTAGATGGCTGGATCCAATTTGAACCATTAAAAAAGCTAAGGTACCTAGTTAAATTTTTGGTACCGTACTATACTTATTTATGACCGAAACCTCAGCTAAATCGTTCTAAAATTAGTTTAGCCTATAAACTATTCTATGGCATCAATAATACATTTTTCCCACCTCTGCCATAAGTTAACTCCAGCTAAAGTAGGTAGTTTGTTTATTTTATCATGTACAGTAGACTCACTCTTCTCCAGACTCCTCGGGACAGAGGCCCGTCCGGATAACGGTTTTTCCGGTTAAACCGACATTCCCAAAATTCGTTAGCCTAAAAGGACCATTTAAATACATACCGGTACTGTATACATATTTCCCACGAGAATAGTACCGCCCACTTCCTGCCGATGTAGTCCGGTTAAAGAAATGTCATTCCCGCCGAGTGTAGTCCGATTAAACCAATGTCCGGTTAAAAGTTAAACTCAAACTCAAATATCTTTATATTTTTGACAGTCGTTATAAACTGCATAATAGCATACAAGAAATAAACCTTTGATTCTTGATCCGTTTCTCAATTTTTTTAAAGGCAATTTAAATTCTTCCCTAGATTGAAGGTTTTTTGTTTGTTTATCATTTGTTTATAAATGATTGCAGTTTTAGTTAACTTATTGTTTGTTTTTTAATGTTCATAATATATTTTACTTTTGGTAAAATAGCCTATTGTAGTTTAATCTAAATATCAATGAAAACGTAAAAGATAATAAATGCAAATCGATGTTTTCTTTAGTTTATTAAAAATCAATAAAAATGTAAACAGATCATAACTTAACTCTATGTTTATATTGGAATAATAATAGTTTCAAATCGATGATTTATCAAACCAAATCTAAATTTATTTAATATATATATCCTATAATATATCGCAGGTTCTCTGCAGAAAAATATTATGGAATAATCCAACAATTGTATAAAGCACAGATTGAACAATGGATCTTATTTAGGCAAGTGGAAAAGCAGGTTAGGGCTTAAGAAGGTAAAGTGTAGGTAATAGTTAGGTTAACCGTGTCGTTTATGTTACACCCATATTGCTTTTTATCTTTTGTAATAGCTCATTAGACAACGAGGAAACAATTTCAATATTGAAACTGCCTCGTTGTTTAACTGATATTGTTGGCGTATCAATTAGTTTTTCAGGTTTTTTAACTGGAAGCAGTTCTCAGCTAGTGAAAGTTTGTGAAACTTTGGAATCTCGTAATGCGGGCTACCTACTTGGCATAATAGCCTATGTAGAATGTTTCAACAAAATGCTTTTGCCTTATTTTTTCATTTGTGGTTTTTTCAGGTTATAATTCACATAATGGGATTTCTTCAATACCCAGACCGAGTTGTAGCCAGTCAAGTTTGCAAGATTTGGTACGAGGCCTCTCTCCATCCAAAATTTATCAATCAAGAAAAGGTGGTTATCAAAAAATCACCAGAAGCATTTTCAATCTTCAAAAACTCATCAAAGTCATATTTTCACCTTATTTTGATAGAACTTGAAATAAACCATAAATTGAAAGGTTTTTGGGAAAAAATGTTACCGAGTTTGAAATCTCTTTGTTTTGTAAACTGTGATATGTACGACAAGACATTCATTGAAATCTTACTAGGCTGTGTGAATTTGGAATCATTAGTATTGGATAATTGCCGTGAACTATTCATGGCTGGGCGACTGCTAGAAAGCGCTGCAGATGTAAGGGCTGTTTGTACAGTTCTCTGTCAGTTGAAAGAATTAAATCTTAACGCTAACCGTTATTTATCCGATGCACTACTCAACCGACTTATGGCAGTCATACCCAAATTGGAATCAATCTCTCTTGAAGGATGTCAGATGTCATACCACGCAGGGCTATATAAGAAATATTATCCGGACAGATTGACTGTTGATAATAGCGAATACGCTTCAGAAACAGTGCTAACATTTTGGAACTTCTTCAACTTTATTAGTAAAAGAGTTAATGTAATTAAAAAGGTAAATTTAAGCAGAACGTTAATTGATAGTAACGCAATATCGTTACTATCAGAGCTTGACCAACTTGAGCTGGATGAACTGTACGTTACGTCGTGTGAACAGCTGACAAACGCAGCAATTCATGCAGTATCCCAACATCAAAAACACATTACAGTGTTGGACGTCAGTTACTGTTCAAGAATCACAGACCAATCGCTGTTGTACATCTGCAATGATATGGCAAAACTGAAAAAGCTCGCTGTAAGAAACTGTCGAGCGATCACAGACATCGGTATCACTCAGTTGAAAAAACTAAAACATCTCGAAGAACTTGACATTTCCCAGTGCGAGCAAGTAACAAACGAAGGTATCAAAGAAGGGTTGTGTTCTGAAATCAACTTGAAGGTCAGGAAACTATACATGGAGGGGTTGAATACTGTAACAAGCCCTGTTATAATCCTGATGGCTAAGAACTTACCAGAACTGACTCATTTGAATTTGAGCTACTGCTTCAACGCAGTCACCGACGACTCTGTACAAGCTATTTTCCAGCATCAGTTGAAGCTTCGGTCGTTGAGGTTGGCTAGTTGTGACTCTGTGACTGATGCTGGGTTGACGGGGATGGGTGTCAGTGCTTCTGCAGACGAAGCTGATGTTGCTGCCGTACAAGAAACCATGAGTAACGTAGTGATATCTCAGCCCAGGCCGTACATATCCCTACGCAGCAAAGCCGAGGAAGAGATAATCAAAGACGCCAATAGGAAGAAAGCAGTCCAAAAGATGTGTGAAGCTCAACTCATCCATAGCTCGAATATTGGACATTCCTTAGTTCGGTTAAAAGGTCAGTGGTACATTATTTTATGAAAATTTTTATGGCAGTTCTTTCAAACAGCTCATTCATGATGAAGTCTGTTGTTTTGTAATGATGTTTACAACTAATATTCTTATAGCAATAATCATACAACTACCATACAATTGTTCACTTACAGTACCTACTTATATATCTGGATGGATTTCAACCTTGAAGTATAAAAACCTTCAAGGTAATGGGTTAAAGGGTAGTATTAACCTTGATTTTAGAACTATTTTGTAGGTTAGGAAAAATTGACGTGGATGACCATTACTAAGGATTTCTTTTTCCTTCTGAGAGAGTGTGCTGATTTAAATTACCGGACTTAATGCAGACCTTTAACATGACATGACCTTTAACCTAGGCCTTAATGCAGTCACGAATCTGTATAAAGCCCGGTCTGTTTTCACCACATGCCTTTTCTTTTATTAAACTGATTTATGAAATCTTACAACACCTTCTAAATCCCAAAATAAATTTAGCTGTCCTTATATCTTTCATTTTGAATGCTTTCATTAATCTTGATTTTGGGGTTTCTTTTGGATGTTTATGAAAGTTGTGAAAAGCTAGCAAATCCTCCATGAAGACTGTTACGATTAATATTCATCTCATTTTTCATCATGTGATAAACACATGAATCAAAGATTGACTCAGCTAGTCCTATTTTTGCCAAACATGAGTGAAGTTTCGGATTCCACTCATTACTTGCTTGTTTTAGACCATATTTACTTTTAGGCCCAGCCTAATCGACAAACTTTGTTTGGTTCATGATGAGATTCTTCAGGTTGATTCATGTATACTCCTTTGGTGGAGATCTCCTTGAGTAAATGCAGTGACAGAATCCATTTGGTCTATTTCAAAGTCGTTTTCAGCGGCTAATTCTATTAAATAGCGTACAGAGCTGTAACCCATAACAGGAGCAACTTCATCATAATCTATGCCTTTGTGTTGAACACAACCTTATACGGGACTTGCTTTGGGGCAAATGAGGTTCCATACGCAGCTCTCTTGGTGTATTAGAATTCAAAGCTTTCTTCTATTATTTTCTATTTGCGATGAAAGTTCCTCATTCATAACTTGTATCCACAATTCCCTATCAGGGCTTCCTATCGCTTCCTTCAGGATTAATGGATAATTGCTGATTTCATCATACTCAGTATAAAATGTTATATTATTCTTTAAGAGATATGGAAGGTTTAAGTATCTGTGAGGCCAATCACTAAATTTCCCTGGTATATAAATGAGGAACAGTTAAACATACAGTAACACAATTTAATTGCGAAGAAGATAGAACCAAAAGCTGAATGTAAACAGATCAAGTCAAACTCACAACACTTTAAAATTGTATCAACTATATAGTATAAGCAAATTAGGCAGGCAAGGTGAATATGTAAGTTAGACTAAAGTTAGTATATTTATATAAGTTCTACAATTTATATATTTCAGGTCTTCAGGATCTTGACTTGCGATGCTGTAATAAAATCACAGATGTCAGCCTCAAATACTCGTTCCGCTTTTTAGAGCTGCAACATTTAAATCTTAGTCAATGCCAGCAGGTAATTTATCAGCTAATAATTTTTTTTAAATATTTATACATTTTTTTGGCGACATTTGCACTAAAAGTGGTATTGAGATAAAAATGACAGCCAAAATTCACCTTGTGTAATATGCATGGTGTCCCAATTTTAGGCTACTCATGGGAGCTTGTCTAATATAAAAAGGCTGCAACTTGTAAGTAACTTACTGGATAATGTATTTGTTGTCATGATATAGGTCAAAACATTTTCAGGAAAAAAAACTTTCACCAACTTGTATTATTATCAAGAATAATTGTTTCTGTTTCCAAAATTATCTTTTGAATTTATGCGTATCATTTTGACACAGTCATATTTTTGGACGTAAGTCTTATTTTGTACTGAAAATATTTTCCTAAAATTAAAGTTGTGATGTTTCAAAGTTGTAAGTTCACTTTTGGGAGTTACCAACCCAGCCAAAAATGTTTTAGAGATTAAACAAGTTCAACAAAAATCTTGAAAATTTATTAATTTAAACTACTTTTAGATCACAGATGTTGGACTAGCTTCAGTTGGGGAAAACAACCCGAGCATTGACACTCTCAACCTCAGTCATTGCTACAACATTGCTGATGGAGGAGTGGTCGCTATCACGAGGGGATTGCGACGTTTGAAGTACCTCGATATCAAAGTGAGTGAGTCACTTGTCAAACCTATCTATAGCGAAACTCTATCTTATACTCTAACTAATGTAGGTTCTTCTAAAATTTTATCACTTTTTGTTTTTTATTAAGTTTTTTTAGCTTTAATATATTTTTGAAACCTTTACCTAACAAACTTTGAAATCAAGCTGTGCAAATAAAAAAATCTAGTAAAATCAAATCCATACGGTAGTATTATTTATACGATACTATCAACATTTCTAAAGTCACCTTTTTAACAAAACATACTTACTTACTTACTGCCGTGGCTCTTGGTACCCAAGGTGGTACTTTGCCTCGCCAACACACTACCTCCAGATTTTTCTATTCATTGCCTCCTCTTCCCTTCTTCCCAGTCTTCTTAGGTCTTTTCTAACCTGGGTCTCGCCATAGGGCCTTCCTGGTGGTCTTCTGCCCTCCGGATTGTTCAAAAGGACGTTCTTGACTAAGGAGTCGTCCTCTTTCCTTAGTAAATGGTCAGCCCATCTCATTCTCCTACCTCTCACCTCGGCCACTATGTCTGGGTCCATATATAATTGCCTCAACTCCGCATTGTGTTTTATCCTCCACTCCCCATCTTCAATGGTTGGACCATATTTTATTTTTCTCAATATTTTGTTGTCACTATCAAACGTTTTTCTGTTTTTAGCGAATTTCCCATATAGGGAATAAGCTATTACCGTAGTACTCATGGTAAGACCTGGACCCGGGACCGATTTTTTTTTCATTTTGAGGTCCCTAGAGGCCAAAAACACCATCCGTTCAAATTCATATATATATATATATATATATATATATATATTTATATGTGTGTCCGTTAGCGCGATAACTCGAGCAAAAACGATCCGATTTTGATGAAATTTGGTACAAACGTGTAAACCTACGTTTATTCGAACGAGTTCGCGAACCAGCATGATCGGACCATGGGAACAGGGGTTTATGGGGGGTTTTATGGGGTAAAAATGGGATTTTCCCACTTTTAACTCAAAAAACATAAAATTTTGCAATTTCTTTCCAAACTATTTTGTAGAGCTTAAAAAAACAAATAATTTAGTATATTGAAGCGTTATAATGCACCTAATGGTTACGGAGAAAATTTCAAAAAGTTGTAAATTTAAAATTCCCATGTTATTCTTATGGAGAATAAGTATACTTTTGTAGTTTGCTTGTTTATTAACAATTTTTGTCCAAATTTGGAAAATGTTTTTATTTCTTACTAACTATTAACATTTTACATAAAAAACACTTTTACCCTCCCTTTTGCAGCAAACCTAAGTATGTGTTAAACTGATTCTATTTAAATAGGGAATAAATGTGATATTTTTAAGGAGACATTTTAGTCTAAATCCAATGAGGCAAATGGAAATTCGCTTAGTCTGCAGGTTTGCTGCGGCGGGGGTATTTTACTTAACACCCAATTTTCTGAGCCGTATAACAGAACTGGTCTTATAATGGTTTTATATATACGGAGTTTTGTTTTGTGTGATAGTATTCGAGAGCTTAATAGTTTGTGGGATGCTGATAAACTTCTGTGTGCTGCATTTATTCTTTGTTGTATTTCCATATGTTCTTCATTATTATTCGTCAGCATTACTCCCAAATAAGTGAAGTTGTTTACTTTTTTAAAGTTGTACCCTTTTATTTCTATATTGTTGTCATTGTTTATTTGGGTTGCTCTCCCACACTCCATTATTTTTGTTTTCCCTTCTTTTATTCTTAAACCAACTTTCTTTGTATGGTTTAGGAGTTTTGTGACCAGCGCTTTCAACTCTTCTTTACTCTCCGCTATAATTGCAACATCATCTGCAAAAGCAAGGACATTTATTTTGGTCCCTATTGTAATTCCAGCTTCTGTTTGTCTTACTTCTTGTAGTGCTTCCTCTAAAGCTAAATTAAATAGCAATGGGGACAAAACATAAGCAACAAAATTTAAATTTTACAAACACTTTCTTGATTGTCATTTGATGGCTTTTAGTCAACGATCAATTAAAACATACGCACTAACTATTGTTTTTGCACTACTGTCCTTATTAAGGTCGAATATAAAATATTTTAAGCTACTAAAAATTCTAATTTGTTATTTTTTTGCTACCACTGTTATATTATACTTAGTTTTGACATGTTTGTGCTTTTTTGAACTTTATTTCTCTACATTTCTACGTTCTTATCAGGGTTGCAATCAACTGACTGATGCCTCAGTTTCTGCCATTGTCAACCACTGTGGTCAACTGCGCTACTTGGACATATCACAGTGTACAAAGATGTCTGAGAAAGGGGTGGAGATGCTCAATAAACTTCATCTGCAGGTAGGCTATGTTTTTACTCCCCCCCCCCCCCTATTGTGGAGAAGTTATTGTTTTTGTCAAAATTTTCCAGTTTGAGTTTCAGGTGGAAATATCCGATTTGGGTTTCTCTGAACCACAAAAAAGGGATTTTTGCAGTTATTAGCGGGTGTGTGTGTGTTAGGATGTGTGTGTGCAAAAGAATTTTATAATTAGAAATTTTGATTTTTAGTGATGGTTTTCACATAAAAAACCCATAAATTAACAATTTGATTTTAAAAACAGCTTGAAAAATTTAGATTGAAATTTAGTCAATAGACATGATTTAGCCCCTGAGCTGAATTGATGAATATAATATGATATAAATACCTCGTCACAGCTCTGAAGTTTCCGTATATTACGGCCGTTTATTTATATTATGAAATTTAATACCTATGTTTATGGTTCTTTTAACCAACTCTCAACGCTGTACAAAATTACAGTTCAAAAGTTACTGCAATTTTCGGGACTTCCCCCAAGTCCCCCTCTGATCCGGTATAATTATTTTAAAATTTTTTGCTCATAATAGTAGTAGTATGTTCAATTTCAATGTCAAGCTAATGGGAGAAAGTATGTGCCAGTTTGCTGACTCTGTTTATCTTGGTTTTTGATTGTTCTTTGATGCACTGAGTCCTTGATTCTTAACCACAGAGAAGTAAGGTACAGAGGAAACTTAGACCGTGAGCTTTCAGCTCTGGTATGTTGTGCTGGATATTTGGGACGAGTAAGAAAGAGCCTGAATGGCAAGCACTGTGAGGAAATTTCTATCGCACAGAGCCTCCTTCACCGTGAGTGTTGTAGTAGATCAGGACGAGGGGGGCGATGTTCGACTTTGTCCTAGATACCACTTAAATGCACCATTATATTTTAAATTCATCGTTATGCCCCTGAACTGGAGATAATAATTGTAAGACCTACTACCTATGTTATTGGCTTAAAATATTTAATGGTCAATCTCAGTAGATTTGACACTTCTGTGTCATCTTCAGCCGAGCACTAATGAAGAGGTGAAAAGTTTTCCACCTAATGGCTCCGTCATAGTTGATTTACGTACACGACACGAACACGTAGACATTTAAACAAAATTTGTATGTTATTAAACACACCTGGAATGAGCATGCAGTCACGCCACAGGTCAGGGACCGCTCCTGCAACAGTCTGTCCTTGAAGGCCTGCATCGGTTGTCTCTTGACATAAGTAATAAGTCTTACAATTACCATTATATGTTTCCTCTAAACCTTACTTCTCTGTGTTCTTAACTTATCTTGTTTCTTCAGACCCTGTACAGTGGGAGGGACATGAGCGGGGCATCCGCACCCTCGGCTCCCCCCCTCCCTCGCTTCTGACACTGGAATTCTCGGATACCCGTCTACTTGTCCATCTATCTAGTCATCGTAACCATCAAGATAATCTTGTATCATGCCGACAGTCTGTCGTACCAAGACAAAAATGTTCACAGGCTTTAATATTCTTTGGGATTTTACGGTTGGAACTGGACAAAGTTAAAGTTGTGGACAGAATGGAATTGAACGCAGACAAATTGAGTAAAAAATATACAGACACTTTTTAAACAGGTCAACTTGGAGGGAAAACTTATCGTAAACTATACGCCAAGCTTCTGTAATGACACAACTACCGTAGGCTTGTATAAAAGGTTAGAGAAAAATTGTATTTTGACTTTGGCACATTCTGAGAGTGGCTTATTTAACTATTTTCTACTTTTAAGAACAACATGACTATAGTTTCTCCATATAGATGATGTCTACCTTATTGTCCAAAAGTTAATGGTTATATCAAGAAGAAAAAAATCTCGGGTTACTTGATTTGGATTCCATCACTATTCTGAAATTTGGCACAATGTTTTATATTTTAAGAGATTAATTGCATTTCAACCATAGTCTACATAACATCATGTAAATGTCAATTGAACATTTGTATAAAAAATTTATATTTTACTAACAAGCAAACAAATTAATGTACAAGACTCTATCAAAAAGATGGAGACCAGTAAAATAATATTTGTATTAATTTTGTGTAAGATCTTAATACTTTTTATACTCTTCATTTAAATGGTGACCATACAAAGTAGGTACAGTATTCATATTGCGAATATGACTAAAAGTGCTAAACTTACTTCAGTACGTTTTGATTGGCTTTTAGGTTTTCCTTGTAAACATTATATTATTATATAGTATAAGTATGTATATAATCATAAAGTACATAATTGATTTGTTATTTATTTAACATACCCTTATATTTAAAACAGTTTCAATCACTTGTTACCAACTTATTTATTTTGGGTGATAACTATATTTTGTTAGACTCTTATTATATTGTATGTATATCAACATAAAGCACACATTTATTTGTTATAAATATATCTAATGATAAGTTTAAATACATTCATAAAACATACCCTTATTTATACCTGTTTCAATCATTTGTTACAGTAGACCCCCTCTTAACCGACCCTAATGGGACCGGACCTAGGTCGGATAACTCAAAAGGTCGGATAAAACGGGCAATCCCTAAAATCATAACATAATGAAGTGCTATTCATTTGGAATTATATAATCATTATTTTGAAGTCATACTTGCATTATTTATAAAATAAACTAGGCCCCTACTCTTATCTCCTTTTTCATATTGATAGAAAAGTCACAAATAAACACAAAACACAGTTAAGTCAGGCCTACTTTCAGTGGAATATATTATTATAATACTAGGCAAGAGTCAATAAAATTCCTATTTTAATAACTTTAGTACTGTAATGTATTAATTGATGCTTTCCAAATACATCTTAATACAGTACAGAACCTTTTGTCGACATTAAAGATACAAGCGACCATTTTCATTTTGTTACAAGACAGGATGTTTATTTATAGCCTCTCACTGGAGGCTCGAGGCACAAAAACTATCTTGACCTTGGAGTTGTTAACCCCCTTTCCCTGCCTTCCTTACAAGTTGCGTTGTTTGTTTACTCCGGCGATAAGATAATCAGTTCTCAAAATCGTAACGCACTTTATGATGTTATAAATTAGCCGCACAGATAACAAATCAGATCAGATGTGCTCGAGCTACGAATGATGATGACAAACTGACAATTGGCTATGCTATATTTTTTGTGCTCAACACAAAATAGCTTATTGTTAGTCATATCCTGTGGAGATAAGCGTATGGTTCAGTTCTCATCGCCCAGCGTGGGAGCGGAAATGCCGAGATTCCTATAAAGCGGCGGTTAAACCGAGCTGCTCTCAAATTAAGGTCGGTTAAAACAAACTGTATTATTTTACGATCGAAGGCGGATAATCCGATTATCGGTTAATACGAGGTCGGTTAAGAGGGGGTCTACTGTACTAACTAACGCTTTATTTATTTTGGGTGATAAATATATTTTGTTAGACTATTATTACATTGTATGTATATAAACATAATAAAGTACATAATTGATTTGTTATTGTTTTATAAATATATATCTACTGTTATGCTTAAATACTTTCATAAAACATATGTTTATTTACACCAGTATTTCGTAGTTTATTTTAAATTTAAGTTATAGCTTTTAATCACTTGTTACCAACTGAAGCCTTATTTATTTTGGGTGATAAATATATTTTGTTAGACAATGAATGTACAAATATGGTGGAGGCCATTGTGATATAACTGTTCTGTGAGAGTATGTTGAATAAATGTTCAAGCATTAAGAACAGTGTGCTTATTCAATTCCTTTGTGTTTTATTAATGAAAAAAAGTAATTTTAGTGTGATTTAAAAATATAGTCAATATAATCATTTTTTTAACGAATACATCACTGCAGTGGTCTTTCTGAAAGTAATTTAAAGAATCCTAAAGCTTAAAAGGTCATTCACAGGTGTTTGCACTATGGTTATTTTGTAATATTTTCAGGACTGTTACCAATAAACTCATTGACTCACACGTCCAAGCAAAAAATGTGTAAGACTTGCTTTTCTTCATTATGGCTGGTTTGGTTTTACTATGGTTAACTTCAATATAAACTTTTTGGAAATCTAAAGCTGTGCAGAGCTGCAAGAACGCCCTCAAGGCCTTGGGCGAACACAACATAGTCTAACTTGCATAGATCCCAGGTCACGCTGGGCACGAAGGCAACATAAGGGCTGACGTTCTGGCAGGTGAGGGAGCAAAGTGCAAACTTGTCAGGCCTGAACCATGCTGCGGAGTCCCAGTGAGCAAAGGCCGATCAAAAATCCTAGCCTGGGCAACAAGACAACAAGTTTTTTTTTTTTTTTTTTTTTTTTTTTTTTTTTTTTTTCCAAGATGGCGCCGACTGGCAAACAGGCTAAATGTGGGTCTTGTAATAAAATTGTTTCTAAAAATTCTAAATCGATCGGCTGCAGTGGAATTTGCCATTCGTGGTTTCACGTTAATTGTGTGGATATTAATGATGAAGAGTTTCAACACTTCTGTGATCTCAATGGTAAAGCTGTGTGGCTATGTGACGGCTGTCGACCTCTTCTCAACACAATGAACACTCGTGAATCTACTGCTGATATTAATTCTTCTCTATCTGAACATGTCAAGAAATTAAGTGATCAAATTCTCGAACTTTCAAGAAATCATGAACAAATGAATCAAGAAATTAAGTCTCTCAATGAAGATAATTTTAACCTCAAAACTGCTCTGAGCAATCAGGCTGAGGCAATTAGTGATTTATTGGTTGGTGACGCTAAGCAAACCTATGCAAGTAAGTTAAAAAATCCTATGATTCCAAACTACATTTCCAACTTGAACACTAATGGACAATTAAATCCTCAAATTCCCCAAGTCACTTCTAGGCCTAGCCCTGTAAATAACTATATAGGCCTAGCTGATGAAAACCTACCGCTCGCTTCACTTCAAGTAAATTGCACCCAGTCTAACGAAGATGATTTCAAGTTAGTGAGCAAACGTAGAAATAAAAACATTGATAGGCCTAACAGTGGAAAATTCGATAAGATCAATCCTAAGACTAGGCCTATGGTGTCAATTCCTGATCGATCTGGGCGAAAATCTGTTAAAGCTCAAACAAACAAGTTCATCACAGGTCAGTCGTCCGAGACTGGTACATTATCTTCAGTAGAAAGGAAAGTTTATTTATTTGTATCAAGGCTGAATTCCGCTACTAAGGTTGAAGATATGGAAAGTTACATTCGTAGTAAAATACAAAGTGAACCTGATGTTGTCAAGTTGAACTCTAAATATCCAGAGGAATATTCTTCATTCAAAGTGGGCATCCCATCTAATGTGTTGGATGATGTCTTTAACTCCAACTTCTGGCCTAAAAACATATTTGTATCTATGTTCAATAACAAGCGTAAGCCTAAGCCTAATGTGGATTTAAACTCCCAAAGCTCTGCGGAAAACCTCGTAACCTAACAGTGCCTATGACTGTCTCTGCTTCTAGTATATTCAAGGCTATTAAACTGCTTTTTTTAAACGTTCAAGGTTTGGATGGTAAATTAAATATGCTCAACATACATTGTAACATAAATAATTACGATGTTCTTTGTCTTAACGAAACCTGGCTAAAGGATATTCAAGTAAATTTTATGATTATGCAAGGTTATATTTTAGCCTCATCTTACTGTAGAAAAAGTAGTTTGAGAGGTGGAGTTTGCATATTTGTCACTAAAGACATTGTGTATAAGAATATTGACATTCAATGGCTGTGCTCCGATATACATTTTGAGTGCTGTGTGATCAAGCTAAGTCGCCCAAATATCATAGTAGGCAGTCTTTATCGCTCTCCTACTGGTGATATAAATATATTTTTGGAAAGACTTGAAAATTTATTAATTTATTTATCTAGTCACAAGTGTTCAATTATTCTTGGTGGCGATGTAAACGCCAAATTTGATGTAAATGCAAACCTTCCATCCGTCAAAGAACTAAAGAACCTGCTTAAGCAATTTAATTGTTGTTACACAAACAATCAGCCTACACGGGGTAAGGCATGTCTTGATAATGCGTTCACTAACTGCATGGACTTTGACTGTTGCGTTGTTCACCCGCACATAGCTGACCATGAAGGACTCGAAGTGTTGGTTAGAGTGGAAGACTTTGTCGATTCAAACCGGAGGAAGCCTACTGAGTCAGTTACCTTCAGAGATACATCGGCAGCAAGTTTGAACAGTTTAAATTCACATTTATGTGATATTAATTGGTGTCCAGTGCTCTCAAAAGGTAATGGGTCTGCTGAACGGACATTTAAATTGTTTTTTGATAGTTTTATGGAAATTTATAATGTAAGTTGCCCTTTAAAGACACTTCGCAAAAAATCCTTTAACTCAAAAAATCAGAGAAAAGTAGTTCTTAAGTGGTATACTCCTGAATTAAAGATAATGAGAGAAAGAGTTATGGCCTATCTTACAGTACATAGAACAACTAAATCGGAACTATCTTTTAAAGCCTACAAAGCTCTACGAAACCTTTATAAAAATGCAGTGAATGAAGCAAAGATGTCTGCTAACATGAACTTTATTGAATCATCCAGTAATAAGTGTCAGGCTGCCTGGTCTCTGATTCGTAAGTCTACAACCTCGACTGCGGAAAGGGTGCACTCTATGATCTCGGCAGAGCAGCATAACAACTTCTTCTTGGAGTCAGTGCAGTCAGCGAAGGCATCCATCATCCCACCTCCTGTCTCTTCTAGCGACCTACTTCATAACTTGGAGTACCATCAGCAAGCCTCGTTGAACCAGTGGTTGCCTGTCTCTCAGGATGAAGTGTTAAGTGTGGTGTCAAAGCTGAAAATGTCAAAAAGCAAAGATGCTTATGGTGTGTCAAACGCGGTGTTAAAGTCTGTGATAAGTGCAATCGTAGTACCACTCACTCACTGTGTAAATGTTTGCCTAAACGATGGAGTTTTTCCTGAATCCCAAAAGATTTCACGGGTAGTTCCAGTGTTCAAAAAAGGCAAGAAATCTGAGGTTAGTAATTATAGGCCTGTATCATTAGTTCCTTTGTTTGGTAAAATTATGGAGCGTATTATCTATAACCAAATGTGTTTCTTCCTAGCAAGTAATAATATTCTTAGCGAGACTCAATTTGGTTTTCGTAAAAAGTTATCCACAATAGATGCAATTGAGTCGATGTTGTTCAAAATTATTAAAGCTTTTGAAGACGGGAGCTTTGCTCAGATTACTGCTTGTGATCTGAGCAAGGCATTCGATCTTGTAGATCACTCTGTGTTATTAGATAAATTAAGTTTTTACGGCATTAGGGGTTCGTGTTTGAAGTTTTTTGAATCATACTTGCATGGAAGATCTCAGTTTGTAGAGTTGAAGGGTGATCGTTCAAGATGTCTGGATGTAATAATGGGAGTACCACAGGGTTCTATCTTGGGGCCTTTATTATTCCTTTTATCAATTAATGACCTACCTGCCAATGTGTCCCTTTCTTCAACTACAATGTTTGCAGACGACACAACCTTTCTTAGTATAAGCAATGATACAAATGTCTTGTCTAATATTGCCAAAAATACTATTTTAGAAGCCAAGCAATGGTTTAGTGCTAATGGTTTGATTATTAATGAGAATAAAACTCAACACTTACTCTGTCAGACTAGAATTAGAGTCGATGATTACAATGAACCAAATGACATAAAAATTTTAGGTTTAGTGATTGACAACTGTTTGACCTGGTCTCAACACATTGATTTCATTACCGTAGTGGTAAGTTTAGTGATGGGAGAATCGAATACAGAATCGAATAGTACGGTATTCGAATACAGCCCGAGTATTCGTAGATTCGAATACTTCAGAATCGTACGAATACTTTTTTGTGAATACTCTTGACCTCAGATTTTGCAGGATTTCTTGAATCTAGAAAGCGAATTCGGGGGATTCAAAAATGTATTCAACACTTTATCAACTATACTGAATTCCCTTTTGAATATCTTATGAATCCGTAGCATTCGTAAGAGTATTTAATGCTTTTGACTGCAGCATTTGTTTTCATCTATTCGTTATAATTTTACCATTAGCCCTATAATTTACATAAGATTATTATTAATCGTTAACATTTAGAATATAATGGATATCTAAAATATTAGGTTACTACTGGTCTGGCAATTGAATAGAATTTATTATAACTACAACCGATTAATATAGTTACATGGCAAAATAACATGCATATCTGATGTAAATTATCCATACAAATGAATTAAAGATATTAATTAGTTAATATAATATGAAATAATACATTAATAAGACTGTAACTGACCATGAAATAATTATAAGTCAAAATAAATGTACGTTTTAAAAATCATATAATTAAAAAATTACATTGAATAAATTATATTAATGAATTAATTACTGTAAAACGAAATAATAGTGGCCTAAAGAACGGTTGCATTATGAAAAAATAATTACACACTCATTTTCCATGCTTTGCATAGTCAAAGGTGTTCGAATACAAGTATTCGTAAAAGTATTCGAATACAGGGGAGGCTACGAATTCACTGTATTCGATTCTTTAAAGTATTCGATTCTCCCATCACTAGGTAAGTTGTCTAGGTGTATTTATCTTCTTAAATGTCTTAGCTCTAGTCTGCCTCAGAATTATTTAAAGTCTGTGTATTATGCTTTTTTTCACTCAATTTTAAGTTATGGTATTTTGTTATGGGGTAATAGTACCCATGTAAATAATGTATTGTTAATTCAAAAGAAGGCTGTGAGAATCATAACTAGATCTCGCCGAAGAGCACATTGTAAACCGTTATTTGTGGGCACTGGCATATTAACTGTCATTAATGTTTTTATCCTGCATTGTCTGATTAATGTTAAGAAAAAGGAAAAAGAGTATGATTTGCGCCAAGACATTCATGGTTATAACACAAGGAATAGGGGTCTAGTTGATGTACCTCACTGTAGGCTACAGAAAACTGCAAACAGTCATTTTGTTTTAGGTATTAAATTATTTAATAAGCTTCATCCCCAAGTCAAGTCCTTGCCGTTAAGTGTCTTTAAAAGAAAATTAACTATGTGGCTTTCATCTCACCCATTTTACAAAATTGAGGAATTTTTTGAAGGTGATCTCATTTTTTGCTAATGTTAAATGCTTTTAAGTTAGGCTAGGATTTTTATTACTGTAATTAATTTTCATATTTTTCATGTTCACTATTTTGATATGTTTTTTACCATATTCCATCTGTGATAATGTTAGAAATTTTGTTTTAAGTTAGGCTAGGATTTTTATTACTGTAATTAATTTTCATATATTTCATGTTCACTATTTTGATATGTTTTTTTACCATATTCCATCTATGATAATGTTAGTAATTTTGTCCCTCTATGTTCATTGTACACCTGTGATAACCATTAGCCTTTTTAAGAAAGACCCACTATTATTCATAATTTAAGTTTGTTAAGTTTGCCTATTTAAAAAAAAATTATTTTAAACCTGTTAAATGTTCAATAAGGGCAGCCTATATTTTGGAATTTTCATGTCAAATTTTAATAATTATAAGTATTGCATCTTATATCTTTTACAATAATAATGACGATGTCAATTACAATAATGTATTGTTTAAAGACTGAATAAATGACTATTCTATTGACTATTCTATTCTAGTAAAGGATTGGGAAAATACCCCAGGCCTAAGACAATCGAAGATGCTCATCAATCCTCTTAGTAAGGAATGAGAAACATCTTCGACCTCCAAAAAGGGGAAATAAGCCTCTTGATAGGGGCTACTTACGGGGCTATGTGAGGAAGTACCTCAAGATAGGGGTTAGACAGACGGACAAGTGCAGATCCTGCCTCTACGGAACAAAATCCACTGAGCACATATAGCTGGAATGTCCGGTGATAGCCCAGAAGAGGGTGAAACACCTAGGCTACCTATAATCTTTATAAGATAAACAGAAACTTTTACATATTGTTAACACAGATGCAACAACTTCCTGGCCACCCTTAGGCCTAAAGACAACTTTATCTCCAACTTATAACTTCCTTAGTTGAAAATGCTGTCAGTGAACATTAAATATTCAAAAGTTTTGTGTAAAGTTGGTGTTTCTTGTGCCAGATTGGACTTTTTTCTATTCAGGTAAGTCTGCTGACTTCACAAAAGTCCTAAAAATTTATCAAAGGTAAGAGAGAATTTTATGGGCAATAAAGAAAAGCAACTGAACTTTGATCAGGATTGATATAATTCTTTCAATATTTAGTTCTACCGTAATAGTCCTTGTGTCCAACCAAATAAATCTACTTGTATCTTCTACTTCATCTTCAGCATCTTCTACATCTTCCAGCTACATCAAACTCTCTAGTAGTCTGGGTCAAAAGACCAGTCAGCTACATCAAAATCTCTAGTCTCAAAGTCTGGGTCAAACGATCGATACATTCCTGTTGGGTCTGTATCAAACGCTCTAGTGCTGTAGTCTGGGTCAAACGATCGAAACAGTCCTGTTGGGTCTGTATCAAACGCTCTAGTGCTGTAATCTGGGTCAAACGATCTTGCAGCTCCTCCATGTCTACTGTCAATGCTTTTTTCAGGCGAAAGATTGAAAAGAAGAACCGCACTGTTTTCTGGTAAAGTTCTAAGTTTTTCTGGTAACAGGTCTAAATCTCTTCTTGATCTTGTAGGTTGAGGAAAATCTCTTGGCTCTGGTGGCGGAGAAAACCCGAAATCTCTTGGCTCAATAGGGGGTGGAGTCGGTGGCGGAGAAAACCTTGGCGCATAATCTTGTGGAACAAAATATGGTGGATGTATTGGCGGAGAAAACCCAAAATCTCTTGGCTCAATTGGGGGTGTAGTCGGTGGCGGAGCAAACCTTGGCGCAAAAGGTGGTGGGTTTGGTATAGGTTTCCTTATATTTTTACGGTTCCATTTGGATGCAGAAGGAACTCCAGCTGGCGGTGAGACTTGAGGTGAAATAACACCAAAGAAGAATGAATGTGGTGATTGGCAGTTTGTTAGCTAAAACAAAGACAAAAAATCAACAACTTACTTCTAAGAACCTTTGCTGTTGATGCAATACCTAATATAAATTCACTAACTAATATACCTCGGCTATGAGCTTGGAAACATCCAGGTTTTGCTTTGAAATATTTCAGAGGAATCGCATCAAGAAACAATTCAGGGTCTGATTAAGGGGTCTAAAGTGGCATTTAGATATAAAAATAATAATTGTTGGTTGTCAACTTGAATGTGTTTGTAATGGGTACGAAACCTATTGATCTCTCAGGATTACCTCTACAATAAAAATATATCAAGTTGTTATTTAAGGAAAATAAAATGTTTATTACTGTTGTCACAATACTCAATACTATATTTCATCACTAGGGCATAAAGTAACTCTTTTCGTCCCGAATTCAAGATTGACGACCACGACCGAGGTGAAGCCTAGGGCGAAAACTGAGTGGCGGTTAAAATTTCACTTTTTGCATGTGTGATTTTTGCAATATTTCATCATTCTGTGTGATTGTGGTAGTGGACGTTATTACTAAACCATTGTATTGACATGAATGCAACAATAAGCTACAAGTGATTTTAAAAACTGACACATTTTTTTATACACACAATTACTCACAATCAAAGTTTAAAACTTAGTTAACAACAGCTGACTTTTATTCCTAGGGACTAAATAAGCTTTATACTTCCTAGGGAGAAAAATAACTACTTTAGACACAGATAGCATGTAACTTATTAAAAACAGCTGTTTTTGCCACAGTCAAAATTTACAAAATTATATTGTTAAAAACATGATCAAATAAGTTTTGTAACACTCCTAGTTATCTCCAGTAGTTTACATAGTATGAATAAATATACATTAGGTATATTTATATGTATATCATTAGGTATCATTAAAATAGTTTTAGATCACTTATTTTATCATCTCCATAATAGTGGAACCAATCATGCAATTTAATTTAGTAATCATAAACATTTTGAGAATCCAACATAAACTGTTATTTAATTAAACAACAAGAGCCTCTTACCGCCGCAACACTCAAAACCACAGCAATTAGTAGCATATTCATCTGTAACATAACATAGGTAAATAAATTAAAAACTATAAATGAACCTTGGTTTTAAAACCTAAATTTTTTTAAGAATATTTTATTACTTTTCGAATCAGAATGCTCTAAAAATATGCTATTTATCATAAACTGAATGTGGCATTTGCCACTTAAGTTTTACAATTCTTCATTTTTTGTCTCTGGAAAAATAGTCTTCACTAACTGAATACTCTACAAATTACATTAAAAAAATAATAAACTTTGGTCTGTGAATAACGAAACTATATGTAATAACAAAAATATTTGTATCACCAAAAATAGCTTGAAAATTTGCGTAATTGATTATTTTTGACTTGAAAACAGTGAAATGTTTTTTGAGAGTAAAGAATTGAAAGTAGACAAAAAGAATTATTATTTTGATTTAATTTAATTTTGAGTGTCTTATATTTTGTTAAAGAGTTTTAAAAGTAAGTCTTGATATGGGTTCAAAAAGGTATATGGTACACATCTCAATTAATAAACTGTGAAAATTTAAAACTTTGCAAAATTATTTCCGAATGAATAAATAATTGTGTGGTATAAAAATGTATTTTTACAGCATCTATATAATTAATAGGCAGGTATGTTTCTTTAAAACCTTTTTTCTCAACTTGTGTGCACGTAGGAATAATCTACGCATACTGTTAGAAAGATATACCTGTAGGTCTGCAGAATCCATTTATAAATTAAAATAGGCTCAAAAATAAGCACAAAAAATTAATTTAAAATTAAAATACATTAGTTATTTTTGGTCGAGTTTAAAATTAAAATTACACTCACCTTTATTACTAGAGCACTTCCTCCTTGAATGTTAGATTACAATTCATGAAATCCTATTTAAATACACCTGTACCATCATTAAATTTTTATCTAAGTTAATTAAATATTGTTAAAAAAAGTTGTCATATTAAATAGAAATTTGATTACTGGACACTTAACAGTTGTTTTATGTTCCGTAATAAATCAATCTTTCTTTCGTGTATTGTACTCTTGCAAAATCCATTACACATTGAAATGATTTATTATCAGTATTAATTAATTAAGCAGCTGCTAATTTGTAAATGCAACCATGCAATAAATTATTACCATGCATCTAACAAAAATAGTTACTGTAAGACAACTTGTTTTTTTTTATAATTATAATTTCCTGAATGATAAAATAAAGTATCTCTTTTACACAAGCGTAAGTTAAGGTGAGGATAAACTATTCTTGGCTAATGATGAACTGTATCTTTTGCCTGACTGCACAATACGGATAGCCGATTCACAAAAGGAAAATTAAGTACCGTACAGTTCTAACTTAGTTTGTTAAATAGTGTTGCAATGGGAAAAAAGATATAGTTCATCTCATGAGCAAAAAGTGTCTTTTCAACCCTCCCTCATTTTCCGAGATCTATATTACAAAGGCAATAGTGAATAGATGCACGGTCAATCAATGAGTTATAAAAAATGAAACTAAAAAAATTACAACAAAATAATAACAAGAACAGTACAATTGAGAGAAAGTTACCAATTCCAAAAAAGTTAGAACAAAATGTAAATGAAGATCTTGCAGCAATGTCCGGGACAAAACAATTAAAAACAATTTGAGTCATATTTCATATAAACTAATCATCAATTATAGTCATTAAAGCTGGGTTTTCCTAGGCGCGGAGTCGGCGAGCGGAGAGAGGAACGCGGAGAGCGGAATTGAAATTAACATGCCATTCCGCTCCGCTTCTAGGAAAACAGTAACATTAAGTTGCCTAAGACAAGTGGAGTCCGCTCTCCGCTCACTGACTACGCGCCTAGGAAAACCCGGCTTTAAGAAATCTGCCAGGGAGTAATATGATTTCTCCACCAAAAATGCTTTAGTCCAACTTTCAAATTGTTGTGCTTGTCAAGATAGTAAAAAAGTGTCACTTAATGCCCCTGTGATGAAATATATACTATTTTGTTTCAGTATTGTCCAAAAATCAGAATCATAAATTCAAATAAATAACATTTACTTTCTTTAATTATGTGTAACAGTAATGGTTTTGAATTTTGTGTTGCGATAGCATTATTTATGATTGAATATTGGCAATTCAAGGCAAGTTTTATTTTTACAATTTTTATTATAATCCCAAAATAGTTTTGAACCTAAAGCTAAGAAGATAAATTGCCCTTGTCGTAGTTCCTTTCTAAAAGGCAACTTTCTATTTTTATACCTAATGTAAAAAATACCTCAGCTGTACTTATTTGTATATGTCATATTCTTTCAATTTATTACAATACCTTATTAAAATCAGGTGTGATTATTTGTTTGTATTACTGTATTCTGTTTTGTATATTTCAGCTTAACCAATCAATAGTTTTATTAATACTTATGAAGTCAAACGGGGTGAAGCCCGTGGGTAACAGCTAGGTAAATGTAGTCATACAGGTGCTGCCTCAACCAAAAACCTTTTAAATCAGCTTTTTTGTAATGTGTTTGTGTTGTTCAATTTATGCTTGCGTAACTTTTAATGCTGATGATGAGTACATTGTTGGAATCATAATTAGTTAACAAAAATGAGGTATGGGCGTTTAAGAAACTTAGATACAATAAAGTAAAAAGTGTATTGTTTAATAGTTCTACAAAGACACCAGCACAACACCATACGTGTTCATACTTGCAGTGAATATCATTTAATGAAGAGTGTTCGATTATATATGTTAATTTAACTCTTTGTTCTTCTTATTCAGCTTGCTGGGAAATAGCATGCCACCTCTGACCTGATACCTGTAATATAAAATAAATATTTAAATCTAACAATTATATGTACAATCGTGCATCCAAATTAATGCTACATTAGAATTTCTTACTAACTCTTGATCAATCGCCTCTGCCCTAACAAAAATAGAGATAGGACTATCAAGCTTAAATTTAAACTGATTTGTTTTTAATGACTTTTCCTACAAATTTAGAGATTCTGGTCCTATTTTTATCAAAGTAATAAATCAAATTGTTTCCGCAAATCTAGTTTTGTTATGGCCCAAATCGTATTTAGCCTGTCAGTTGGTACAACCTTTGACTGTTAATAAAACTAGACATTCCATCCCTATGTTATAGTTGTCCCCAGTTTTAAAATCAAAAATCGTCGTAGTTGATTTGACCTACCCAATGGTTGTGCTGATCTAAATTAGGTACTGATATCTTTCAAATACAAAAACTTTTTTACCAAATCAAACTGTTCGTCAGCAACAATAAATAAGGTAGAAAATATAATTTTAGACACTAGCACATTCTGTGACTGGCTCACACAAACAATGTTCTTTTTTAATAAAAATTGGCAATAGCTGGATAGATGGGATGTCTTCTTCAGTACGGTATCCAAGCTAGGTCAAGGCCCCACTAAAAAAACAGGCCATGCTGCAGGGGGAGCAGCGCAACACCATGTCACAGTGGTGGATAGTTGTAATAAAATGTTACCGTTAAAATCTGACAAACGAGCTTATTTACCTACAACATATGGGAAATGACAGTGAATCTATCCACAACTGTGATGTCATAGATCCTGCAGTATGGCCTGTTTTTCTAGTATGACCTTGCCTAGATTCTGTATGTTGTGGAGATGAGGTAATAATGACATAGTGTAACAGCTGACAGGTCTGAAAGAGAGAATAGTGTCTTTAAAAATGAGTCACCGGTTGTATGCAGTAGTGTGATTCATCTAATTATCAATCAATGTGGATTTTAGTTCTCAACGTTTGAGTAGTAAAAGTGCTATAGCCTATGATTTTTACTGATTTTAGCCGATTGCTCATTAATGAATTGCATAGAAACTACCAAGTGCATACAGCTAATACATAAGTTTGCTCTTTGCAAGGGTATCCATTTCTTGAGATTGGCGCAACAGATAAGGGATACCAGAATGGACCATAAGGAACAATGACCATAAGCATAGTTTAATTTCATTATTCCCCTGTCTGTGGTGACGCTTACATACAACACTTGTTCGTGTTTTCGTCCCTTATGCAGACGTTTGATCTAACCATAATTATTGTGTTCTATGGTGCACACAACACATTATGTTTGTTTTGTAACTATTGTGAGTTAGCACGAATATAACTTGAAAATTACAAACAAAAATGTATACTTTATACTCTAAAATTTTCAATAGGAATAATGTTCATGAAGCAAGTACTGGGAACATTAAAATATTCTATTAGTTTGCTGTCGATAAAAGTTTTGGTAGTTAAACATACAAGGTGTCTTGTAAGTAGATACAAAAACTTTAGGAATAGATTTTATGGGTGAGAGGAAAAAACAAAAATTAAGAATAAAAAACTTTTAACATCCCATTAGTGAAATACCAGCCTTTTTTGTACTTCAAATTATTATCTTAAAAACTATTAAAGATATCATTCCTGAGTTTTGATAAGTTTCTAGTGTGTGTAATTAGTCTGGTATATTATTTAACAACTATAGACCTCTTTGTGAAACACCAGGTATAAAAAATACCATTATAACAAAAGACATTGAGAACATAATTATCTGTAAAGGAACTACAACGGAACTGAAGCAAACCAACATGATTTATCTCTCCGTTTTAAGGGAGATTTATTGTTAATCTAAGTTAAGCTAAGCAAGCTTATATAGGGCTAATGTGATTACTTACATGGACAAACGGTTGGTCACCACAAAACATCACTCAGCAAGTCATAAAGCTGAAGATTATAGGGGCTAGGGAGAGGCTAAAGCAAACATTTCACAGAAAAAAACAATACTGACAGAACTGAGGGTTTCAGCATTATGTCAGCATACAAAATTTGCCTTCTTTTTATATATAGCCACCGTTGTCAAACTCCTTTCATAAAGATCGTAACTTAGATATACCTATTCAAGATAAAATAGGATTGGATGAAATTTAAATTCAGATAAAACCGTTAAAAATTCATGCAGTTTATATCAAGGGAAAATTCATCGATGATAAAAGCTGTGGATCAGAATAACCCAGAGGCACGAGACCACTCGGCAGGCCGAGACCGCGGTGGAGTCAGGTGATATGGCTGTCTGCTGTCTTGTGCACTACACCTGAGGCAGCCGAGAATAGAGAAGAGTAGAGAGACAATGTTGGCGAGGCCAAAAACCTTCTAAGGTTTCAATGGCCAAGGAGGTAAGGAAAACATTTCCATGTTCTGGATAGCTTGACAACCCCAAACTCGACAACCTCTGGGTCTACAAATTATCGAGTTAGTGAGGTTTTTTTTTTACAAATCGTCTGGTTTTTAACCGTGTAACAAGAATAAAGATACGAACAACTTTAGCAACCGATAACTTTATGAAACTGTAGCGACAACAGCCTTTAGTTGAAGACACCCAAGTCCAAATATACTACTTTTACACTAATTATATCCTTAAGTTTGTTTTTCTTTTAGTAATTATATTTGATTATCAAAATATGGGTTAAGGAAACAATGATAAACCACGGTGTCGAGTAAAAAAGATAATATAAAATTTAATAAATCTAGTAAGTGGGCAAGAAATTTACAGATTATAACTGAAAAATAAACCACAACCAAACAAGGACAAAATAAACAAAAGTTAGTAGAGGTGATGACAAACACAAGAAACACCTTCTAATCTACAGGCTAACTTGTTAACTAAAATTTAGACAAAGCACAGAATATTAACTTACGCTATCAAGTACATTTGGAGAAACCCTGTTGGTTAACTACAATAATAGCCTAAGTGATAAGAACTTCTGAAAAATTTATCATTTTAAATAGTAAAAAAGGTGTTCCTCGATTTGATTTTTCTTGAGCATAAGTTAACAATGCCCAAGTACAATACTCTTGATAAGTACAGGATTGAATAGAAACTTCTCAGCAAAACAATAAA